GACTGCACTTGTATTGTATTGCTCACACACACTCTTAACTTTCACAGCTGTGTGTGTTAATATAGTACACTTGTATTGTATGGCCTCACACACACTCTAACACTCACAGCTGTGTGTGTTAATATAGTACACTTGTATTGTATTGCCCACACACACTCTTAACGCTCACAGCTGTGTGTGTTAATAGACTGCACTTGTATTGTATTGCTCACACACACTCTTAACACTCACAGCTGCGTGTATTATTATAGTACACTTGTATTGTATGGCTCACACACACTTGTACCACATCATGCACGCTACAGCTGAGGGATGACTCACGCCTGGGCAAGATCGCTATGAGAGAGTTAGAGTCGCGTCTGTGGCACACACTCAACGCCTTCGAGACAAGCGACCCCCACGGCGTGAGCGCCGACTTCCACGACAAGTTCGTAACCATGGCAACGGACCACCAGGCATCGGAGGAGTACGTGTTCTACATATATCTACTTTCAGGTAATTGTGTCGTATTTTTATTTCAGGTAATTGTGTCGTATGTTTAGCCTCAAGTCCGTTTCCAGGCAAACACTCGCACGGTTATTAGCCTACGCAATGCTTTCACCTTCTGGTTTGATGGCCCCCCGATTTCGTTTACGGAATGGCTGTGGTGGTTCGTGCGAGCCAGAGACACTTCATATAACATTCGTACGATATCATAACAGTTCACCCGCCGGCCTAAAGCGTTTACGCCAACGGCCGAGAATGCTCTGATAACGAGTAGCGCGATAGAGTATCATTTAACCACAACCTAATTATTCACGTTAGATTAGTTAAAGATCGATCCAAAACTGGTATGCACCCAATACACAACGCCATACGCCAATAGCGCATACCATACGCCACACACCATACCACATCAACTCAAACTCAACTCAACTCAACTCAACTCACCTCACCTCACCTCACACACACTGTGCGACTGTCCCAGGCATGTTTGAGAAGGCGCTGGAGGGGTTGCGAACGAGTGAGGACCTGTATGTCGACAGCATCCACTTCGGCGTGGTGCTGAGCACGGGCTGTCTGGGTCTGTTGAAACAACCCTCCCTGGCCTTCGTGCAGCAATACGTCAAGCGGTTCTGGCGCAACGGGTACTTTGAGAATGTGCTGCACTACATGTTCCTGTTTAAGGAGGAGCGCAACCCGCACGCCATGGATAAGATGCTGGACGACATCACACAGGTGTGTAGTGATGGGTGTCTATACTACAACACAGATGTGTGGTGATGGGTGTGTATACTATAACACAGGTGTGTAGTGATGGGTGTGTATGCTATAACACAGGTGTGAAGAGATGGGTGTGTATACTATAACACGGGTGTGTGGTGATGGGTGTGTATGCTATAACACAGGTGTGTATACTATAACACAGATGTGTGGTGATGGGTATATATACTATAGCACGGTGTGTGGTGATGGGTGTGTATACTATAACACAGGTGTGTAGTGGTGGGTGTGTGTACTACTACACAGGTGAGTAGTGATGTGTATGTATACGGTCGGTGTTGCTATGTACGGCGTGGGTTGAGAGTACGATAGAGAGAGAGAGTTTGAAAGTCCACATACATGCGGTTGAGAGTACGATAGAGAGCGAGAGAGAGAGTGTGTGTTTGAATGTTCACATACATGCATGATATATATATATATATATAGAGAGTTTGAAAGTCCACATACATGCGGTTGTGAGTACTATATAGAGAGAGAGAGTGCGTGTGCGTGTGTGATTGAAGGTTCACATTCATGCATGAATTATATATATATGGAGAGAGAGAGTTTGAAAGTCCACATACATGCGGTTGAGAGTACGATAGAGTGCGAGAAAGAGTGTGTGATTGAAAGTTCACATACATGCATGAATTATATATATATAGAGAGAGTTTAAAAGTCCACATACATGCGGTTGAGAGTACGATAGAGAGAGTTTGAAAGTCCACATACATGCGGTTGAGAGTACGATAGAGAGAGAGAGAGTGTGTGTGTTTGAAAGTTCACATACATGCATGACTGGCATCATGCATACTCGGGTCTGTGAGGTTTGGAGGTACCGTTTGACTCGCAAACCCATACAAATCTCTCAGGGGGTGCTCCAACGAATTATTGGCCTATATGGCATTGGTGTATTATAGCCATTTATAGGCCTTTCACGTACATGTCGCTACTCGTGTAGATGTGCACATGCCGTGTTGCGTTTTAGGCACCTTGTAGATGCTTGTAACAGACATTTATAGATGCTTGTAACAGGCACCTTATAGATGCTTGTAACATGCACCTTATAGATGCTTGTAGCAGGCACCTTATAGATGCTTGTAACAGACACCCTATAGATGTTTGTAACAGGCACCTTATAGATGCTTGTAACAGGCATGCTGATGCCCATGCCTCAGAGCAGCACAGCCTTCCTCTGCGTTGTCGACCTCCAACGCACGCACACGCCCATCCCATTTGCCAGGCCCCACATCTCGCGTGAACGCAACCACTCCAATCATTCCCTGATGACTGCAGGACACACCCTCTTGTTCACATGCGTATGTGTGTGTACAGACACATACACGCCCGTGCGTATTAGCACAGACAGCCAATTATGGGCCACTCGAACACGGCAACTCATTTGTGTGTTCTCGCCCTCCCACGTCACCGCAGGAAATCCCGGTGACGGACTTTCTGGATCTGTTTGATGCGACCAGAATGCGGTCGATTGGACTCGACCCAGATGTCAACTGGCTGGCCCATCAGACGGAGCGTCTAGGTGTGTATGTACATGCGTGTATAGTCTGTGTCAGCATGTGGCATCGTACCGCAATGCGTTTGAAGCTAAAGCGGGATGAGGTCCAGAGTGGCCTGTTTCGTTATTCTGTGTCCATTTTCTTGTTGGCCATGCTAGTTTGCACCGGTTCACCTTACTGTTAGAAGTACAGAACTACAGAGGTGCAGTCAAGGCCACGCGCAATACGGGCCTGAATCACATACCAACGCTTCACCAACCATTATATCTCACTACCACACCTCCGGTGTTCTTGTCCTTGGAAACGTTCGTCTCTCAAAACAACACGTTTATCAGTTCTATCGTGCGCCTTGAATCTCATACAGACACGTTGCCAACGTTTTGTATCTCACTCAAAACCAACCGTCCGTTGTTATACCCGCACGCCTTCCCTCACCAACAGCCAAGGCCAAGCGTAACAAGGGGCAGCTGGACGATGCGGTGAAGCTGTTCGATCGCAGTGTGCACACACGGCGTGAACAGGGCGACACAGTCAACATGAAACGCAACGAGGCTGAGGTGTTGGCCCTGCTGATCCAGCAGATCACAGAGGTGCGTGTACGTGGGTTAACGAGGGGTGTGAGGGTGTGCAGGGGTAGGTTAAGTACGCATAACTTAACTATGGTAGGTGGCAACGGTAGTGCCTGGGGAAGTCATGGGCCGGCCCTCTAGTCCTGCATTTACGCGGGATGTGTCTTCCTTTCCTTCCTCTTGACATGTTGTATGGATAGGGAACGTGCGAATTCTGCACAGGACGGTATCGGGAAGGGTTAAGGGGGGAGTATGAGGTTGTGTGTGAGCCTAAACGTAGCCCATTCTCACGTGTGGTGTTTCGGCATACACTGCATAGTCATAGGCTAGTACACACGCACTCGTACCCCCTTAATATTTGTGTCACGCGTTGCCATGGTAACCCTCCTGGCGCTCAGTGGTGCCTAGCCATCCTCGCGCTTGGTGTATCGACTTTCCGATCCATTTTGCATCGAATATTCAAGTCCATATATATACAAGCGTTTACACATGTGTGTAGATACGTGCTATGTGTATGTGCAGAAGGTGCTCACACCTGGTAACTATTCAAGTCCATATATATATAGATATGCAAGCGTGTACACATGTGTGTAGATGCGTGCTATGTGTAACTCACACCTGATATTTCCGGTGCATGTGATGAGGGCAGGTGCTTAAACGCGGGGGAGAGAACATCGACACACTGCCTGAAATCACTCAAGCATTCAATCTCAAGGAGGAGTACTATGCCGAGGTAGCGTCCCCATGTGAACTGAAGGACCAGTTCTTACAGGTGAGTGTCTAGGAAGGGTTGTTGTGCAGCCGTGCATGAAAGGCTCAGAAGTGGGTGGTGATATTAGTCATAGGGAGATAGTGTATACTTATATACTACGTGTAGGTAGCGTCCCCATGTGAACTGAAGGGCCAGTTCTTACAGGTGAGTGTCGAGGAAGGGTTGCTGTGCAGCTGTGCATGAAAGGCTCAGAAGTGGGTGGGGATGTTAGTCATAGGGAGATAGTGTATACTTATATACTACGTGTAGGTAGCGTCCCCGTGTGAACTGAAGGACCAGTTTATACAGGTGAGTGTTTAGGAAGGGTTGTTATGCAGCTGTGCATGAATGGCTCAGAAGTGTGTGGTGGTGTTAGCTATAAGGTGATAGTGTCTACGTTTATACTACGTGTAGGTGGCGTGCCCGTGTGAACTGAAGGACCAGTTCTTACAGGCGAGTGTCTAGGAAGGGTTGTTGTGCAGCTGTGCATGAATGGCTCAGAAGTGTGTGGTGGTGGTGGAGATCGTATAGAAGAGTGTGCCAGCGTGAACTGTGAGGTGTGCGGTGATAGTGTGCACGGATACACGCTCGTACTACGTGACAGTACACAGAGAAAGACAAGTGCATCCCTATTTCTATATATGTATCATCATGTCCCTATTTGTATAGATATATCATCTCTAGGTGGTCGTGTCATATTGAATAGTTGCCTTAGAGAGTGTTTTACGTTTTCTTGCACAGTTAGTTCGTTGCTCTCAGTTGTGGTATGGATCTTACTTTGAGACCGGACCGCCAACCAGAACTCCCAGTCCCACGTACAACCTGGCGCGTGCCCATCCAGCTGATTGCATGAGACTAAAAGCATTCTTGTTCAGTGGAGTGCGAACGTTGTAGATCCTGCTGTTTATGCCACTCTTTGAGGACAACATAGCCTCAACAGCGCTATATACGTATACACCATCCAGCCCTTCTGCCGGCATACGCACACTTTCCGTCACACGCTGCAACAGGTATCCCGAACCGCACAGCCAAAAGCATAAGCATACACACAATGCCCATCACACCATTCATTGCATCCCTCATCACACCATTCATTAATCATTCTATGCCTCTCAGGTGTGGCAATACGCTGAATTCTATCACTGGTTTGGCAAACACAAACCGTTGGAGTCGCTGCGGTTGCTAGACAACCTAGAGATCTTCCCCACAACGAAGGAGGGTGTGGCCGAATCACTGATGCAGCTGAGGAGTAAGGTATGGGCAGAGTACCAGTCACTTGTCCAGTGGTAGTGGTGATAGTGGTAGGGCCGGTGGGCTATAGTGTATTGTGTGGACGTAAAGACTATGCGCGTACTGTACGTATTTCAATCCCCTCCTGTTGACCCCACTTTAACAGCCCAATCTCGCGGTGTTTGAGATTACAGCAGGTGCACACACACCGATTCACATAGTCAGTTAAAAGTTCTTTGACTATTATATAGGGATTGATCAAACACTCAACGTATGAATATGGTACCTTGTGGCTGCCGCTTCACTATCTCCTTCATCTGTGAAGTACTATAATCGTATTACAAACACAAATATATATATCATCCAATAGCGCAGATTATATAT